CATGTGTGTGTGTGTGTTTGTGTAGGAAGCCCCTCAGACGCAGGATGGAGGCATTTGTCTCTGAGTGGAATTACAAGTGGCGGGCTGAACAAACCCTCCAGTGGTCTAGAAGAAACACAAGAGAAGAAAAAAAAAAAATAAAAAAAAAAAAAAGGATTCCTCTGTCTTTCCTGTCCTTTATTTTCCTGGGCCATGCCTCGCTCACACTGTGTGTGTGTGTGTGTGTGTGTGTGTGTGTGTGTGTGTGTGTGTGTGTGTGTGTGTGTGTGTGTGTGTAAAAAGGGAGAGAGAGAGAGAGAGAGAGTTGAGAGCCACACAATCCACTAGAAGTCGATTCAATACTTGTGCTCAAAGCAAACAATGAGGAAGAATAAAGCTGCCTCACACTTAAAACCCACTAAACAAGGCTTCCGCTGCCCTTTCACCCATGAACTTGGATTACTATTAGTGCGTGTGTGTGTGTGTGTGTGTGTGTGTGTGTGTGTGTGGGAGATAAAGAGCAAGACTTTAGCAGAATCAGCATTTTTTTAAAGAAATTAAAAGAGGGCATGGAGATTCAAGGGTGTTTATTAAAGTAAATCCCTGTGCATGGGTGGACTGTGTTTTCTGTGTGGGAGTGAGATCTCAGTCCTCCTGAAAGAGGACATCTGTGCCAGGCTTCCAGCCTCCGACTGGCCAATCTAACTCACACTAGGAGTTGGCACCGGACGCCTCGGCACAACCAAAGCCAACCCTGCTCATCATTAGGCAGCAAAGGCACGGGGGGTTCAAAAGTCTGTCCTGCCAAACACACAAATGCAACGCCAGAGAGGGAGAGGGACTAAGGGGCTTCGGGATGATTACAGAGGCCAATAAAGCCGCTATTTTGCACCCAAGCCTTGGATGTTTTCCTTCCCATGCTGTGCAGTTGTGATTCCGCATGTAAATATTTGGGTGGTTCGCAAACTCGAAAGAACAGAAGCCCCTCTGTACAGCCGGCAGCAAACAGAATGTCAGCAAACAGGCTTGTGATGTCGTCGGATCGTTTTCGAATGCATGGGGAGAGAAAAGTAGGAGTCAAAAAGAGCCCCCCTCCCAAGAGGGAACAGCATCATCTTTGTCTCGCCCATGCAGATACAAATCTGAGTGCTGATTCAGACGGCGAGTACCGTGAGAGGTATAGCGTACTGCTGTCTCAGGCCTTGGAATAGCGTTCCATCACCCCCACGTGTCACATAGTCATTTGTAAAGGCTTCCCTTACGGCCCGCTGAGACTGTCCAGTTGTGACAGAGGGAGCGAATAAAAGCCCACACCTCAATGTCACCCTCACTTAACTGCAATTATTATTCTTTTGTGCAAACGGCCATATTTATTCCCCCTCTCTCTGCCGCCGTCTCTTTCACCGGAAGACGCAGAAACCGTCCCCATCTCGATCGGCTCGTCAGGAACGATCACAGTGTGTTTGACAAATATCCAGCAAAAAGGCTGGCATGGGTTAAGCCTGGCAGATATCAAGTTATGATAGCAATGTTGACTAATTTACAGCAAGATTGAATTCCTTCACCCCCCTCATCTCTCATGCTGTCAAATAAAGGGCTCGCGGTCTAGACTGATGCTATCAAAAAAAAGCTTAATTAGCTTGTAATAAATTCTCATTTCCGTCAGTCTTCTACAAAGCCTCGGCCAGCACCGAGGCTCCGTGTGTGCCAGCTGACAGACGCCCAGTAATTTGATACTGGCATTCAGCGGGTTTCCTTTCTCCCCCGGCCATTTCACAGGAGAGCACGTCTTTAAATGTCACCCAAAAAAAACACACACACACACACACACACACACACGTGCGAACGCAGCGCTTGCCATACACACTCAAGAGCTGCGGCGATTAAAACGTTTGAGGCATTTGTTTTTTCGGGGAGCACACAAACAGGCAGCTACGCAGAGGATGATGGAATTACTGGTGTGAGTTTCGCTGGAAGAGATGCAAAAGGTGAGAGCTGTTTGTGGAGAAGCAACAACTATCTTTTTTGGCCTGAATACAAAAAAAAAAAACAGAGCTGATCCCATCGTTCCTAGTTACCAAAGATTCACCCCGTCAACCTCTGCAGAGAATCAGTTACTCAAGAGCGCGTCGTTTTTCTTGAAGTCTTCTCCAGACACTGAAACAACCGGAAGCAAACGCAGCGTCCAGAGAAAGCTGCATTTAACCGAAGATGGACCGAGCACCAAAATTCACTCTTGACCTTGGAAACACAAGTTGGACAGAGCTTTCATCCGCATCTCATGCTCTTCCTCAGTCGATGGAGATAGAATTGAAGGGTTTGAGGAATGTCCAGTTTCAGAAACTCCAATTACACGATCAATTAATCAATAAACAAATACTTACGTTCGACTGTTTCAAGCAAAAATTCCAATCGTTCTGGGTCACAGCTTAGCAAGTGGGCATTCTTTAAAGGAGATAATTGGCAGATTAATCAATAATGTCAATAATCATTAGTTGCACCCCAAACCCTATTATCCTACTGATGGCATTGCAACCAGTAAGTCATGGACATCAATGTAGCTCCTTCAGACCTGAGTGACCTGGGAAAATTAATTGTTCAGATTATTGTGTAGTGCCTTTTTGCCATCGAAGAGACAGCAACTCCTCCCTGGCAAATCCAAGATGGAGGAGGAAGTTGACCAGCCTCCTGTTGATCTTGAAAATATCAATCAACACTTGAACACATCAGTGGGGTCAATCCTAGACTCTAAAATCAGTTTTTTGCTGTTCTCCTGTTAAATTTACATCAAAATTAAGATGAATACGAGCGTGCAGAAGCCTCCACACAGACACACTAAGATCCTCTCACGCTGCCAACAGAATAGAGCAAAACATCAATCAAGTCGCTCGCAGTGCGAATACCTCCATTTTTGGCACACATGTGGCCATACTGTACATCACTCAAACATACACACAAATAGTTTAGTGTGTATACAACTCGGTAGACCGGCTGACTGGCAGGAATGCTGCAGACATTTGTCAGCAGGAGCGTACTGACAGATTCACTCACCGTGTTAAACAGCAGTGAGGTGAACATCCCCAGCCTTGACTTACTGATATGGCTTTAAATATGTTTTTATATATGGTGTTGAGTGTGAATTTTTTAAATGACGATGCAGAGAGGGAGATTAAGTAAAAGAGTGGACGGATAACACACAAATATCTACTCACCCACTAACTCCCACACACCCAATGAACTTCCCAAGAGGCATAGCTCAGATTCTTGGGCAGAATTTGCATCACAAATATCTTGGATGGGAGTGTATGCATGGAGAATAAATAAACCAGTGAGGGTGCCACTTTTCAACCCCATTCATCCCGCCTGTCACCCATCCATCCGTGCATCCATCCACTCCTGTTTAATAGGCATCCAAGATCCACACCACGGCCAGCGGGGGAGTGTGTGTTTGTTTCTCCAGCTCTGCCCGAGAACCACAAACCACCAGAGATCGAGCAAGAACTCGACCCGTCCTTGGTGGCGGGAAGGAAAAGCGTCCTGGAATCCCATTTGTGCCACTGAGAGTTTGGGCGATGGCCAAATTCACCTCTGAACATCAATCCACAAACTCTCCTGTGTTCCTGCTTCTTGCTTCTGCTTTTTTTTTCCACTTCAACAGTCCTTGCCAAAGCTTGATGATATCAATTAAGAAGGCAGATTCTGGCACCATGAATAGCTCATCAGCCCAAAATGAAGCACAAAATATTACCGTCCAAATAACTCGAGTGCATCTCATATTGTGATACCACTCAAAAGCAGACACTATACCTGAGTCAAAAACAAACAGAATACATTAAAGTATTTATTGATTAATAAGTCTGCGAACAAAAGCTGGTTGAAAAAGTTCAACATCAAAGCCTCTAAATGGTTTGCTTAGGTGCACAGGCAGTGGGGTTTCGTTGCAAAACCTGCATCATGAACAAAATATCACACAGCAAGTGGCGAAACCTGAAATGTTACATGCTGCAGGAGCAAATATCACAACCAAACTATCTGCAAATATCCTACAGTGATGCCAAAGGAAAACTGCAGCCCTTACACATAAATAAAGATATCATTAACTTTACTATAAATTGACTTTTGAGTACAGTTGACTGTGCTACAAGTCTTTTTGGGAATATTGCAGGAACATTAAAGTGATTCTCGTCTAGGGATTGACACCACAGGGGTCCTAATGATGAAAGGGAGATGTTTTCCCACTGCCTGTATAGCCCTCAGTATATCTGCTACATCTAAATTATTCAAAGACAGTAAGGAATGAGAACTGTGCCACCGTGCAACCGAGCCCAATTCATATAAATCAGCGCAAATAGCCGCGGTCTTCGGTCTATATCAATGTCCGCTTAAGGGAATTGAATTAAAACGATGGCGCATTCATTCATATTTAGGGTGCAAAAGGAAACAGCAGAGTAAGGGGCTCGTGTGAGCTGTCTTTCAGTTCATTTTAAAAGATATTTGATCCCAGATTTCTTTTCTTTTCTTCTTTTTTTTTTACCAAAGATTTGTGGAATCAGACAGGCACACAAGCGAAGTGCATTTCGCCTCCGTCCCGCTCAAACATGCGTTAACAGCTGTCCCTGATAAGCTTTAAAACATCTATGTAAAGGGTGAAAAAGAAGCGAAAGGAGGGGAGTTTTACGCAAACCTCGACACGCTCCTAGAGGCTGCTGGATCTCTCCTGCAGGTGCGAGTCTCTGTGCCATGATTAAAATCATCATCGTGGTTGGATAGGAAGTTAGTGTTAACTTCGCATCAGTGATGTGGAGCGAACAACACAGGTGTTAAACTGTGATGTCCATTCGCCATCAGTCAGCAAACAAGTGCTGGGACTTCATCATTTCATTCTGCCCATACGTTTATGTTTATTTCAGAATAGAAAGGTGGGGTTTTTTGGGGGGTGGGGGGTGGGGGGTTAATCATTGCTTTTGAAGTCCGACCTGACCAGGAGACCCAGGCACAGAGTCGCGCATCCGAGCACTCACCTGACTGTGCTGCACTCGATCGGATCACCACCAAAGTGACTAGGACGCAGGCGGGGAACTTCATCTTTGTAGAAAGGCTGCTTGTCTTGTTAACTCCCGTAACTCACATGTCCAATTAAGATATCCTCGTTTTTCACACACACAAAAATAAACAACCAAAAAAAGAAAAAGGAAAAAAAAAACCCCGTCGGAGTCTTCTTGGCTTCTTGGACAACTGGCACACACAACTGCGCCGTGGAAAGCTTTTACGCACCGCGCTTTGTTGTGTTTGTTTATCAGTTCCCAGACCAGTGTTTAGGTCGGTTTCCACCGCGGATACTCTGAGCCATTTACTCCTCACTCTGCCATAGCGCCGGTGGCTGGGGGGGTGGGGGGGGGTGGTGGTGGGAGAGAGGGGGATGAGATGGAGGGGAGGGGGGTGGTGGCTTCTGAAAACGCCTCTTTTGTGTGATCGACACGTCTTTCAGCCAATTAAATTGCCCACCCAAACATAGAAGATTGGGAGATTTTTGGCTTTTTGGGGGGGAGAAGGGGGTTGAGGGGATCCGCCCACCTTACATATCACCTCTCCTGATTGGCTATTTGGCTTCAGCGCTCCTGTCAATACACCTGTCAGGAGCAGATTTTGGTTCGGTTTCCCAATTTCTACTACCTGTGTAGAGACCACACAGAACTACTTACAGGACTAATGGTACAACAGATAAATGTATTTAGAGAAAAAAAGACAGACACCATAAATAAATATAATAATTTTTCAGGTGAATCTTATTATTTACTTGTTTGTATATTGAATGTAGACTGACAGAAAAGTTTCCCGTGGTGCCAACAGGGTCAGCCTCTGCAAATATCGGCAACTAGAAGGCACAGCCTATAAACTTTGATGATGCTCATCTAATGGAGCTGCAGTGAAGGGAATGGCGCCAGCAGTATACCATTTTCAGGGCCGCTCATTTTACAAGCCGGTGTACCCTATTCCGCTCTCTGGCTTCGTTTGTGGACTGATGTGAAAGTATGAAACCCGGCTGGGAAATCAGCGAGGACAAAAAGATCTTGATTTGTGACCCATGTAAGGCGAAAACCTCGCACTTAAAGTGGCTCTATTACCAAAATGACTCCACTGTTTAAGCAGCAAAAGGTGCAGAAGGACCGAAAATGATCCTTCACATGTCCCCACAGTGCCAAGGAGGAGGCTCATTTAGTGTCCTCTGCTGCTCTCTAGGGGAATTTATGGAGAAAGACTCAGTTTTGAGCCTTTTTCTCTGTAGCTTGCATGAATTACAAAGTTCTTCAGGGACATAAAATAACATTTGGGCATGTATTTTTCACAACTATTATACTCATGACAATGGGAATTCAACCAAAAGGCCTCATGATCACTTTAAAGCCCAGTTAACGCAGGTAAGAGACTTACTGAAAATGATTTGGTTGGTGTCAGAAAGGGGAAGGGTTATGTATTTTCAGTTTTTTTGCTAAAGGCAGGGTACTCTTTTTTGATTAGCATTCGAATGGCCATTTATTGTTTTCCTCCTTTGTATCAAGAAAAAAAAAACAACAGGGTTTGACTTTAATCAGTATTCGCTTCTTTTTCTGCAAATCAAGAAAATACCTACAAATAAATGAACCTGAGGGAAATCTAGTACACTGGCTGCCAGTTTACACGCCACAGTACATTATAAGAGATACATGAAAACATTTATTTGAGCTATGGGATTAGTCACACAGACACACACACACACACACACACACACACAGACAGACAGACAGACACCAGCACAGACAGACTCACTGGGTGGCAGCAAAACGCAGAGCAGCCTTGAGAATACTAATGAACTGTCAATCTGTTCCTGTACAGAAATCTGCAGATAATACATTCAATTAGTGAGGTGCATGAGATTTGAGCTGATATGAGTGTGACATAAAAACGGGAGTTCTCTTTTTTGTGCTCTGAAATGGGCCCCAGTGTGAGACCGATGGCTCACCCTGAAGAGGGTATTACAAGTAATCCATTACAAATAATAAGTAGTGGGGGAAAATGCATTTAATTAAAAAGTTATAATGAGTGTAATGGTGTGTTATCTTACAGTAGGCCTCTGAAATGATAATAGTGCAAGTTAGAGCAAAAAGCATTCAAATTATAGATAATTGTGTATATAAAGGCTTATTCTGTAGGGAGTTTATGCTCATGGAGGTATTCTAGATGATTCCATCAGGGAGTTTATTGTGAATTTATTTTGGTTTTCATTTTTAATCTCTTAGATACTATCCTGGGCTATAATATATTCCACACGGGACATATGGTTTGCATTTATGGGGGCTTTTTACAACTCTTACTACTTCAAGTTTATTTATTGTATCTCATGTAGCTTACTATTCCCATATGTGTAACATGAGAGTGGATTAGGGGTATATATCATAAGATGACCTTTTTTTTCTCTGAATGACTCCCTGGATTCATTAAGACTGGCACTAATTTTGGCGTCTGACTTTGTTTTGTCCCCTGTGAGCAGCTCCACACTGTAAGCAGCAGGACAAGGGGATCAGATGACAGGCAGAGCGTCTATGATTAGGGCTGCGGTGAGGGAAGGAGGCTGCCACTGCGGAAGGTCAAGGGGCTTTTACGCACAGTTCTCTTTGACCGCACACCACGGGCCGCTTTTGATTGCACTGTAACATTGTGGTGAATCAGTGGCTTTGGCTTGAATACTGAAGGAAGAATTGAATATGTGCAGTTGATCTCCAGGGAGTGAGCACAGTGTGTAAAACGTCTTGGAGTTGGTATTCAGCATGGCTCCGGAGAGCGCGTCACTCCTGAAAGCAGGGCTTATGCTGCTGATGGCAGGTGAGTGTTTATGGTAGTGAGTCCACAAGTTCTTCTGGAGGCTTGAATTTAACATGTCTGATCTGTTTTTTATTTAATTATTTTGGGATATTTGGAATTTTTATGTCTGTGTATGTGTGTGTGCATACAGTATAGCTTGAAACATAAATACTATCATACGTTTCAGAGATCATTGAGTTCATAGCAGTCCAATATCTTTTGTTGTTTTCGAAGGTTGGTCGTTTTATTCTATTCATTCATTTGATTTTGATTAGTGTGAAACTCACAAACATAAACAATTCTGACACTAAACCGTGCCTTTAAATTTTATACGGTTTTAGTCTAAGATGTGGAAAGTATTCAGGTTGTTTACTTAATTCAAAGTTTCAGTATCACACTAAAAATACTAAGTGATGCATTCACTTTTACTTGAGTAAAATACTACTAAGCAATCTAAAGTAAAAGTACTCAATGCAGAAAACTGGTTCCTTTGTCGTACTATTATTTATTATCTAATCGGATTATTATTAATAATGGATTTTGGAGGAGTTGCAGTTGATCATTATGTGTTGTATGTAAACTCTTGATTTGTAAACTAACAATATTTGCCTCTGAAATGTAGCGGAGTGCAAGTGCAGCTTGTTGCAATGTGGATGTTCAACAGGTAACAAGGAAGTCTTACATTTAGCTGCTAAAAAAAAGCTTAGAACATGTAGAGAAACCTATTGATTGTCATTATTTGGCATTATATCCTGATTCTCCCAATGGGGACTGTGGACCAAAACAATAAAACATGTTTTAGGGAGGACCGATGCACAGAAAAAATAGGAATCTTACATGTGAAAGTGCTTTAATGCTCTCCTCTGGGCTTTACTTTCACTCCTACATGAATGGGAGAAAATGATGCTCTCATGCTGAGCAGCACAGCAGCTGGCTAGACACGAGTGACATCTGAGGTAGATGGATCAAGGCATGTTCGAGCATCAGTTTTCAAAATCCATAACTACTGAGGCCTAGAATGGCAGGCAGAAGTCAAGATTCCGGTTACTCAAAATATGGGATAACTTGAAGGCAGCGAGTCAATAAAGTGCAATCCTCCAGCTAGCAGCGCTGTAGCATCTGTCAGGGTTTGCTTTGATTTTCCTGGAAAATGGAATGTGAATACAATGCTGGTTAGCGGCCAAGTTAGAAGGCATCTTTGAACGCCTGAATGTCAGATTTCTCTATGAACAGTTGCCAACAAACAGACAGACAGGTGAAACATTGCATCCATGCAATTCTGTGGGTGATACACAAGCTAATCGACGCACAGTTACCATTTATACAATCAGTGTTTGCACGTGTTGGATGCTTTTTCTCCTCACTTTATTTTTTTTTCTTTGAAGCACCTGTTCGACCATTCAGTGGCTCGACCATTTCTCACCATCTTCTTTCAGTAGCATCTCTTTTACGAAATCCCCGTGTCAACACGTTCAGTCTTCCTTTGAGTGTTTCAGAGCCTCGAGAGCCAGCTGAGACAGAGCAAACATAATGGGCACACAGTTGGCCCTTATCAGGCCGGCGCAGACTGAGATCCACCATGCTTCTCGATCGTAACAACAACCTGTCCACGCGGGCCTTTCCCGCCAGCTTAAGCTCCCTCTCCTGCTGTACTGCTCAGTGGTGTTACATTCAGCTCAGAGTCCTATGGGATGGCTGCGGTCTGCCTCCACGTTAAGAGCCTGTTTGCATACATCTCTGAAGTAAACAAATGGGATTGGGACTAAGGCTGCAAATTAAAATCTTTTCTCAGTGAAAGTAACAGCCTAATAGGGAAGAAAATGGCCCGGTAGGAATAACTGTTGCCAGGACATGACCTTGTTTATTGCACTAACATATTCATAATTATCAAAAACTGAACACACAGCAGATAACCTCTGTTGTGCTTTGTAAAATCTTTTGTTTCTTCACAGTGTTTTTTTTTTTTACAATGGTGCAAAGTTTTGCTCCCCGCTCACTGAAATAAAGTGATCACCAGGTCGCAGTCAGCTCACATGACCCGAATCCATTCTCATTCTCATTTATGACTTGATTACATTTTGTTTCATTTTTCTCCTCTTTTGTGCATTAGCTCAAGTCCTTCCATCAGCGTACGGCTGCGACAGGGCTTTCTACGAGAGGGTGATCAATGATTTCTGCATAGCTAAGTTCAAATTCGACATGGAAGGACTGGACCGAGGCCTGTGGTGCAGCTGGCCAGACACCACGGAGTGAGTAAACCTACTGTGTCATGCAAAAAGAGTGGGTAAAGCCATAAAAATAGGTTACCAACAAGATAAAAAACACTCTTCTTGTATAGTTTAGTCTGAGGAATGTAGTTTATGGCAAAAGGATAGAGTTAGATTTGGCAGAGAAGGCTCTATTTTTGTGAGTATTGTTTGATGGATGATGAAAACGAATCTTTTAATCAACACATACATGCCAAAAGCCGAATAGCTGGTGGATGAGGCAGCAAAAGCATAAATATAGTGCCAGTCAGCTAATGTGAGCATGACTGAACTCATGCAATGCTTCATTTGGTTCCAACTCAGAACATGTAAATATAGATTGTCAGAGAACCAAATCTTAAAGATTATTATGTACGTTTTAGGCCTTTTCTACCTCTATGTTTTTGGTAATTAGATGGACTGTAGATTCAAATGATATATAATGTACTATGAATGGATTGAAAAACTACTATAACTAAATAAGGAGGCTGGTGAGAATGCATACTATGCATATTTCTTCCATATTTAACTAAGCTCACCTGTCTTTCCTTTGATAACAGATCATAGATAGGTCCAATCTGGGTTTCCACTCCCCTTTACATCACTTGGTCGTGGCCTTTTACTGTATCTGTCACACATTACATTGTGTGTGTTTGTATGTGTTAAACACCGGCAGTCAGAGGATGAGTCAGACAGGAGGGTGAAAGGAGCTGGGAGGCTCACAGGAGAAGCTACTGTCAAAACTGTGATTTCCCACCTGGCCCACACTGTCCTCTCTCTTGGTCCAGCTCATAATTGGTGGTGGTGCTCTTTGTGTGTGTGTGTGTGTGTGTGTGTGTGTGTGTGTGTGTGTGTGTGTTTGTGTCTCAGTGTGCAGTTGTAACTGCAGAGAGTTGGCACTTGCGTCAGGAAACTCCTAGCAACAATGTTTGACGCCATTGATAAGGTACACTGGGGAGCCGCCTGTGCAACAGATAAATAAAGCATGCAGAATGAGAAATTAGAAATACATAAATAAGGCTTGTGTGTGGGTGCAGACCAATTTAGTGCCTTTGAAAATAAAAGTCTAATAAGTAGGATTTGTTTTGGAGGTATAATGTAACACAGCAGGCTTAAAGCAACACTAGATAACTTTTTGAAGAATAAATAGAACTATCTTCCTCCCACATATGAAAAGCTGTGAAGTAATAAAATACACCCTTTTATTGCCTGACTTGTTCTGGTATGTCCAGGTAGCTTATGGTGGCTAATGTTAGCTAAATGTAATGTTCCATCATCCGATACTTGCCACTTGTGTGGCTGCAACACATTTAAAGTCACTTTAAATGTCTCTATGATTCTTACCGAGGGGTGAAGCCAACACAGAGGTAACAAAAATGGAAATTCCTCGAATGGCCACTTGAGGCTGGCTCCAGAAGTGAGTCAATCCCCATAAGACCTAATATTAAAATGCCTGACTTTACAGCAGAAATAAACACGTTTACCTGTTGTTTGCCTGGCACAAAGGACGGTTTTGGTAGCTAATTTCCCTGCCAAGATGGCGTCGTCCAGCGCTGACCACACTGAGCTTTCCCATGCTTAATTATACAGTCTATGATAATGTGTGATTATTCATAAATAACCACACATCTAAAAACCCTCCAACCCATGGAGAGCTTTGTTTTCGTAAATACTTTTCCAACGTGTAACTCAGCCATGTTGTCACTCAGGTAAGAGCCAAACATAACATACACAGGGATAAAAGTGGAAATGCCAATTCTGGGTAAAAATCAGTTCCAAGTTCATCAGAGTCCAAACAACATTGTCTGATAAGTGGAAGAGAAACAGGTCTCATTATTTATGAAACTTTATGAAATAGTTTTTAGTCTTTGAAAGTGAAACTAAAGGCTTTCATAAGCAGGAATCCCAAAGTAGTGCAGATCCAGTGCATTGTTACTCGAAGTTGCTCAGATATCCAGTGATATAATGCTAATTACCAAATATTGAGGCAAAATTAAGTTTTTTTCTAGTATTTCAGTTCAGTGAAGAACATCAGACTGAGATGATACAACAGCTTGTAATGATATCCAAATACACAGTGAGTGAGTCCCACGTTCACTTTATCACTCAATATTTCAACTGAATACGCCACATGGCATTTCAGCCGCAGTCATCTGTACAATAGAAGTTTAGATTTATCACTCTTCTCTCAGAGATTCTCCGACTGCTTTGTAACCTCTAGTTATTCTGCTGATCATGTACTTACTTCTGCAAGAGAAAATAAACAACCCCTGTGCGTCTGACGACTGAGCAAAAATTCGGAGACAGGGGATATTTGAAAAACTGGGAGTCAGGCATGCTAATCTTGTTTTGTTTGGTTTATGAAATGATGATCAGAGTTATTCTTTGTCTTTATCTATCCATGTTGTCTGCTACAAAACCCTCAAACTTTATTGTCACCCTCCATAGCATTTGACTGACGCTTGTGAGTGTCATTGCCACTGAGAAGCTGTTTTATATATATGCAAATTAACATTGTTGAAGGATTTTTTATGATTTCTGTCCAATTAACACTTGAGATTTTATTGCCAGACACTATTTTTGCAGTCAGATTAATACAATCTTATATCATAGAATTTGTTAGTCACCAAAACTGTTAATTGGGAATGTGTGTGTGTGTGTGTGTGTGTGTGTGTGTGTGTGTGTGTGTGTGTGTGTGTGTGTGTGTGGGCACATATGCGTGTGTATGTTGCAGTGCATCACTGTGTGTGGTTGTAAATACTGTGTGTGTTTGCAGCTTCACTCCAAGACTTGTTTGTTAGTTAAGAAACACATTTTTAAAAAGAACAAGACAGTGTCTTTCCAAGGGGCACGAAAGCCAAAACGGAAGTAACAAAAACTGCAGTTCCTCGAACAGCCACTTGAGGCTGGATACAAGAGTGAGTCTAGCTCCTTAAGGCCGCGTTTTAAAATGCCCCAACTTTACAGTAGAAATAAATGTTTACAGTCTGGTACAAAAAAACGTAGCTTTGCTTTAGCTAAATTCACCTGTATGGGGGTGTATGGGGGTGTATGGTTTAAATTATATTAAGGGTTAGAATTATGCATAATTAAAAGTAATAGGTGGGTGCTGTCACCGCAGTTTTCAGTAACCAGGCTTCATTCAACCAGCCTCAGCTCCAACCACGCTCCACGTCTTTGCCCATTTTTGGATTAGCCGACAGCCAGCGGAGTCGGGTTTGCCAAGATGGTGACAGCCAGTGCCGACCACCCTGAGCTTCGCAACGGTTCTTCAAAAACCTATGGGCTGTGTTCATTCTCAATTATACAGTCAATACTTCATTTACGCACTGTATTGTTCAGCACTATAAAAACACTCCAGTCCCTCTTGACTCTCACCTTTAGTCCAAAACACTTTCACTGAGCTCAACACACATATTTGTATTAACAGGCCTGTGAGAATCTCTTAACGCTAACCTTGAACCTTTACCCAAGTCCAAATCTTAATCATTAACCAAAAGCTTGAGTCTTAATCCTAAACTATCATCAACTTAGACCCCTTCCTTTAAACCTGATCCTGAGCCTTGCTGCAACACCAGCTCCTGGTGATGATAGTTGGCTCTTTCCCCCGGCACACTGAAATGCAATCACATACACACACACATAAAACCACTACATACCAATCATGTACTTCATGCTTTTATCCAAAGTGCCTGACAGTGAGTCATATAGCATCTATAATAAAATCTCCCTTTATATGATCTATTTAATAATTAGAATTTTCATTGAAATGTCTTTTATTTATGTCAAAATCTAGATTTAATACCTTTAATAGCCCCATTGATATCAAGCTTACATGGTGTATTTTCTCTTACATGGTGCATCTAATTCAAACTAATGAACTTATAATCACGTCAACCAAATGGGGAAACACAGGGACCTCTCTTTTTGCAGTCTAGCTTTTCTTATGAAGTGCTATAAAGGACTTGAAGGGATGTGGAAAGTCCCTTACAAAAACTACAACACAGACCAGTATTCTGGGCCTCGTGTTGTTTGAAACAATATTGAAAATAATAACAGGAAATAACACACTAGCCCATCAAAAAAATATATTTATGATGAACATTAAAGTTGGGTGGACTTTTCCTTTAAGGGGCTTTATGATCACTTGCCCAGTTGGCCTCCAGTTAAACACAGTGGCCATCCGGAACAGAATCTGTCCTGGTATGGGGCAATGCTGGACTGAGGGCGCTGCCCTGTTGGTATGCATCTCTATTTCCCCTGCCCTCTACCTCCTAGCAGTTATATTTAGCTGTGTTAAGCTCACTGGTAATTCCAGACACTCCTTTGCCTTTTTTCCTACCAACAGGAGTCCCTGGTCTCACTCTGAAAGGACGTTTCAAAGACACTGCGAGAGACTATTTCAGTTTGAAGAGTTTATTTGTCTATAGGTCTGTAGCTGGGAACAGTGAGAATGCTACTTTAAGTTAATCATGGGTTCATGAAACTGAGTGTTTATCCCGGCATGTGAGAGTTTTTTCCTCAGTGAATCATTTAGGTGGGTTTGACTGTGTGTTGTTGCCCTCTGCAGGATCTATGAGGGACTAACAAACTGCACCTACCAGGTGGCACTGAGGGTCGACTGCTTCTGGCCAAATCAGATAGTCGACCGCTTCTTCATGCAGATTCATCGCATCTACTTCCACGACTGCGCTCTGACTGGCCGCCTCATCCACGACCCACCCACCAGCATCCTCGCCCCGTTCATCGCAGTGCCGGTACTGGTCACCCTGCTCATGACTGCCCTGGTGGTGTGGAGAAGTAAACGCACAGAGGGGGTTTTATAGAGACTGGATTTGGGCTTTTGTAAATATATACGGACTCCTGACAGGCAGAGACTGGGCATGTGATAAAGGATATTTTTGGGTGATTTTGCATAATTGATGTACTTATTGTCCTGAAATTGTGTTATTCCCATATTAATATGTTTATGGACGGTGCAGTAAAACAAGAACGTCTGCTTAAAAACTGCTAGACTGCAGCAGACGCTGACCTTAATACACTAATATGTAATAAATGTTCTATTTGGTATAAAAATAGAATTCATCTGTGCAGTTATTTTTAGTGGATAACATCACCAATAGTTTGTCAGGGGAAAGTAACAAAGTCTTTGGGATTCAGGGGATTTGAGGGGCCATGCATGTTAATGACCATCTGTTCTCATGGCCCCTAAACAATCTGTGAGGACATAAATAACACTCAGCGAGACACCAGTGACTTGGATAAGTTAATGTTATAAATCTGGAAGAAAGGCGAAGAGACAGAAAAGGAGAGCAGAAAACGAAGAAAAGATGACTGAAGAAATCACAATGCTGAGTTTATTCCCATCTCATTTACATAGTTGCATACATTTTGGAGAAAACCAAATGGTGCCTGGATTAAATTTCCATGAACATAGTGATGATTTGTTCATATTCAAAGCATCTACAGTATAATAATCCAACTTTTTTAAATCAAATATCTGTGTATATCCATCTTCTTGTGAGAGACTAATGGCTTGTTTTCAGTGCAGTGCACTTCAAGGTAGGGACATTCTGGAAGAAAGTGGATTTCTCTCACTGTAGTTAGAGTTCATTTCAGTACTATTTTAAGACTGTAAATAAGGCTCAAGTGGACTTCAACTCGACACTCATCCTCACTGTATGAGAGGGCTCCATCTAGTGTTCATTCCAGAGGTCAACATCCATAAGCCTGAATCTGATTTAACTGCAGGTTGTTACAAATCAGTATCCATTTTAGTAGAAAATTAAAATATATTTTTATAAAAAACATAACAAAGATAACACGTTTGTTTTAAAATCAGGCTATATAGATCCAACTTTGCATTTCAAGTGATTCCCAATATAATATATTTGTCTTCCAACCTGGGGATTGCTTTCTCAAGATAAATCTGCATTTCCACAACAAAAAAACTGTGGTTTATTTAGACTTTTTGTTTAGTCATTTTAGCTTTTTGGGTGCTAAGAACACAAGGTATTTATTTATGGATGAGCTGGTCACAACTGGCCAAATTAGACATTGGTTGGTTTTGGCCTCAAGCCAAAAAAGTGGTGTACAGGATCCAGACAGAATGATCAAGGTTTGCATGCCAGCCAATAGAAATACTTCACTACCAACGTAACTTCTGTGTCAGGAGAAGACGCCTTCATGGCAGACAGCAACCTGAGATGGAAGACAAGAGACAGAGTGGTTTAATAGGATCTAAAATGAGTTAATGGATGGACTAATGTACCAATATTGTACGTTATTTGCAAAATAGTTGAGGAAATATAAAGTAGTAAATAAACAAAAAACCTCAAATGACTCTCCTCCCTTCAGACCACACAAGACAAAACACAGGTCCATTCTTTCCAGAGACAGACAGCAGAACTGTGTGTAAATCTCCCCAAACTGTGATAGTAATTAAATACAATGTCATACTTTTTTTTATCCATGTAAAAGTTATGGCTCAGCACTTCCCCTCCATATAATTTGCTTGCTGGGCTATTCTGTCCTGTCAGTGGCAGGGGAATTAATGGTGGTTATATTATCAAAGCAGTAAAAGCCTTCAACAGTTAAGCTTAGTCAAGCAATGTTTGGCTTTTCTGATTAATGCCCAAGACTGTGACAGTATTCAAAGACGAATTTTCAGCAGTTTTCGATAATGATAAATTAATTTAGGTGGAGATTAGGAGATCAACGTTCAACGCTAGGCGAGTGGAGGTAAGAACTCAGGGCCGGAGGTTAATGATTAGAATATAGATGAGTTGGAGGTTAATATCTTACTTCTTCCTGATGTCATTAGAAAGACGTTCAGCCTCAGCGGGGTCCACTTGTTGCAGTTTCTGGTAGCTGGAGAAGGTCTCTACCATGCCGATGTACGCAGTCAGTGGCACAATCCTTTTTACCTGGAGACACTCATTCCTGAACACAAAAGCACATTGAATGCCAGATAACTTCCAGATTGTGAAGTGCATATGTGTGTCTTTATTCCACCAGAGCTGCGAATTTATAGCCTTTGCGCAAGTTTAACTTTGATTTAACTGATTATCTAAGTAATCATCAAGCACAATGCACTCTGCTACAACTTGTGCAGATAGAGCTGGATATAAGTAAAGTCTGAAACACTCACCACTCTTTTTCTGGATATGGGCAGGAGTCAAACATGCCTGCGTAGATCTTCACAGAGCTCGATCCTATGTAAGGATTTCGGAAAGGAAGCAGGGCAGCGTAAAACTATTAAAAGAAAACAAAGAAAAGCAGGTTTTAATTACCAACTAACTTTGCATAGGCCAATGCAGTTTGAAAAATACCTTGCACCTTGTGTCTAACTGGGATAAATCATTACAATTTACATAATACAACTGAACACAATGGGTTTATATACTTCTTTCCAGCTGTTTTTCTACTTGATTTGCTGAGCTTTAAATTTTAAGTAGTATTTCTGTCTAACGATATGGCATGGCAAGGACTAGTATGTCACTTATACTGCCAGTGTAAGGGGTTTAATTACCACTTACACATAAGGTCATGCATCAAATGGACTGCCTTCTTCGTACTTAGTTACTTCATGGTTATGACTTGCAATTAAAAGTCTATACACTGTCCCACATTAGGATGCAGGGCCGTGCAGAGACCTGGGGTTAGACAGGGGCATGAACAAGAACATACACCAACTGGCAGCCTGCAGGCCATTTCCAGCCCGTAAAAGTCATCCAGTCTGCAGAATGGCTACTATTAAAAGTTTCAATATGTTTAATTTCAATATGTATATATTTATAGTATTACAAACTCACCAGCAACAGAGACTCTTTTAGACTTTGCAAATGTTGTCGGACCAAAGGAATCAAATTCTGATAGTGAAACTGATGTCACTTTGTGAGGGGTTAAAACACTCCAGAAAATGCATCCACCATTTTAAAGCTGGGGCCTGTGTGCATTGTAATTACATGATTTGGCCACTATGTTAATTGGCTTAAATTGTCTGGCACTCTTCCTAAGGGACTCAACTTCGTTAGGGCACGTCATGGATGACAACAGGGTCATCGTGTGACGTAAACTCATTCCTTCTCAGTCATTTTTATTTATAGCCAAATTATTTTTAATTGTTATATGTTCTGTATGAGGGGCACTGGCAGGCCTTCTCGTAAAAACTTGCCAAATTAAATGGATTTTGAATGTACCTCTTTACAGATGTCATTGAGCGTGTTGGAGACGTCCCCATACTCCAGCTCCATATCCATGGTGTAGCTCAGGAGAGCCAGGCAGCCTCCAGGCCTCAGCACCCTGTCGGCTTCCAGGAGGAACTTCTGGTGGTCGAACCAGTGGGCCGCTGTCATAGCCGTCACAAGGTCCACTTCACCGGAAGCAAACGGTAACTCTTCTGCCGGACACTGCCTAGGTTCGAAGTGGTCAGAACAATATAGCAGGAAATAAGGAGAAAGGGGTTTTAGGCGATTAAACACTAATTAAAATATATTTATGAATATTTCTGCCAATAGAGCCTCCTAATTGTTACACACTGGACCATAAAGTAACCTTTTGGATATCTTTTACTTTGTATTGATCCTTTTACTCAAGTAAAATATCAGAATACTTCTTCCACCGCTGTGCACCACCCTCTTAATAAAAAAAAACATTTACCACCTTGGTTTTATTCATTTAATGTCCCCTCCCTCACCTTCCACCGCCTCACCTGTATGATACATTCAGAGGTTTCCTATTGGCCATTGCCACCTCCAGCTGGGCGGGGCTGATGTCCGTTCCAACAACCTTGGTGAAATACGGAGCCAATAGGATCGTCCCTTGCCCTGAACCACAACCCACATCCACCGCAAGGCTGAGTTGTGTCGGTGTCTAAAAGGAATGGAGTTTTACCATGTAGTAATTCTAGATATGTTTACAGATGGATTTGATGACTCAGCCCACACTAATGGGAAAGCAGGTGTTCTGCAGCTCTGCTACTTATTTGTAATGTGTTTAAACATGCTGGTACAAAGCTTTTGAAATGCAAGTCAGGACAACAGCAGAATGTACTTGTAATGATGTGATTCAAAGTTGCAACATACAGAGCTTGATTAAATTACAGTTTTCTCTTCCAGCATGATAATGTAAATACAGGTAGAGAAAGCGTACTGTTAACTGAATCACGTAGTTCAAATCTCCTCAAATGTCAACAACGACCAAATCGGCATTTTGACTGCAACCATCATGTTTAACTTGCAAAGTCATTTTTAAGCAATTCAGTGATTTTCTCAGAAGAGGTGACCATCTTTTCTTATGTCTTATGAGTAGGTTAAAAATTAACTTAACATTATCCTATGTGGGCCATAAGTTTGTTTAAGTCTTGTCTCTCTTAAAATGTATAACAACACACATTCTCTCTCTCTCTCTCTCTCTCTCTCTCTCTCTCTATATATATATATATATATATATATACTTAAAGTCTACTTAAGTTATAATAATACACGAAAAAGCTACTCAATTACAGTCCCAAGACCACTTCTATAGCTTCCTTAGTGTACAAAATAGCACAGGCTGAGGTTCAGTGTGAATGCAGCTGGTTAAAATGCTGAAAACCTGAAAATACACACCTTTTTCTCCATGTAGTTCATAATCCTGCTGATTAATTCTTGGGGGGCTACTCTGTACTGCAGGTAAGCAGATGCATGATCTTTCTCCTCAAAGAGACGTACAGCCATGTTTTTATGCCAGAATGCTCATGCCTGTCAAAGCGCCTAACTGAGTGAATACTTTGACACACCGCGTGAGCTGGATCTTATCTAACCTCCAAGTTACACATTAACTGCCAGGACTAAAATTGTCCTGCCCTCTTGCACTGCTGCTGCTGCTGCAAAAAAGCATGCCTTCATACAATTAAAGGCATCAGTGGATTTCATATTGCATTGCTTTAATATGACAAAAGTGCTGCATTTTCAGTTTATGATACATTTAATAGTAATTTATGTGTATGGTTTAGGTACGTTGAGTTTACTTCTGAGTTTTTTAAATACAAAACACTATATGCAAAGCAGAAGAAGCAAGTCTTGAATTATTCTTTACTTTCAGGGGTCTTTCTGTCTATGGTGTGAGGAGAAAACTAGCATGCCAATAAGTAAATGGTATGCGATGAGACCAGTTGTAACTGAAAAGAAGTTTGGGAGATCATATATAAGGCTGTGACTCACATGTAAAAAGTTATTTAAGATAAAAATAAAATATTAAGAAATAGCACAATAAAAATGTTGCAGTTTTGAGTAGCCACTGACAAATTACATGTTTCTTTTCAATATTACCAAAAGAAATGCTGTATGATGAGCTTTCGTAGCCCTTACCACAGTAAAATGTATGCAGGTTTGGTATAAAAATAGAATGATTTATGCAGCCATTTGTAGTGGATAACATCACCAATATGAAAGTGTCAAAGTCTGGCAGGGGAAAGTGACAAAGTCTTTGAGATTCAGGTTATTTAGAGGCCTTGCATGCTAATTACCATCTGTTCACATGGCCTTAAACAATCTGTGAACACATAAATAAGAGTAGAGAGGAGAACACTCAGGGCCAGTGACACGAATAAATTATTGGTATAAATTTGGGAGAGAAGTGAAGAAAGAGAGGGAAGAAGAGCAGAAAATGTGCTCGAGTCAAATCACTTCATACTGGAAAAAAAAAAGAAGGAAGACTGGCTCTGTGGGGGTGGAGCTTGGTTCTTTGGTGGTGGTGAGAGGAGGATGCCGTGCAAACTGAGGAGCATCACAGACAATTACTGTCACCCGCTCCACGATGTGCTGGTCACCCACAGGAGGACCCTCAGAAACATTGTTACCGCCACAGAATCAAACTGTAAAACTCATCTACCTCGTGATATGGACAAAAGGGATGGGATGCTGAGGTAGCTCCAGCCTCCATTTCAGCTCTGCTCTGATTGTTTAAATCTCTCCTTTTCTCTCTGGATTACAACCATTACAACATTACGACATTATGCCCATTGTGTGTATTTTGGATTTGCACCTTATTGATATTTCATATTACTACTTTGTACTGCAACTGTTGCACAACAATTCCCGTCGGGATAAATAAAGTTCTACCTTATCTTATACATTTTGGAAACCACAAACGGGTTCTGTACACAGAAGATCAGCCCAGGAATAAGCCAACAAATCCAACAGGGGAGAAAGAAAAACTAAAAACTAAGTCATGAAGCTATCTGAGAATAAAAATGACCCAAAATATGTGATCAGTGGAAGTAATGCTGGAACACGTTATACAAAGAACAAAGAGACAGGGGATCAGACAGACAAAATACACTAAGGAGGATAGGATAGGGGACAGGTGTACTAATCAGAGCAGGCGCCCTAGTCAAGAACACACAAGATCCAGAAGCAGTCAAGAGATTACATACAGTTTATCATCTGGCTCAACAGCAGTAAACGAACAAAAAACCTCAAATGACTCTCCTCCCTTCAGACCACACAAGACAAAACACAGGTCCATTCTTTCCAGAGACAGACTGCAGAACTGTGTGTAAATCTCCCCAAACTGTGATAGTAATTAAATACAATGTCATACTTTTTTTTATCCATGTAAAAGTTATGGCTCAGCACTTCCCCTCCATATAATTTGCTTGCTGGGCTATTCTGTCCTGTCAGTGGCAGGGGAATTAATGGTGGTTATATTATCAAAGCAGTAAAAGCCTTCAACAGTTAAGCTTAGTCAAGCAATGTTTGGCTTTTCTGATTAATGCCCAAGACTGTGACAGTATTCAAAGCCGAATTTCAGCAGTTGTTGATCACGATGAATGAATTTAGGTGGAGAGTGGGAGATCAACGCTCAGCATTAGGTGAGTGGAGGTTAATATCTTATTTGATCCTGGTGTCAATAAGAAAGACGTTCAGCCTCAGCAGGGTCCACTTATTGCAGTGTCTGGTAGCTGGAGAAGCTCTCCACCATGCCGATGTATGCATGCCGGCTTGCAGGAGGAACTTCTGGCAGTCGAATCAGTTAGCCAATGTCATGGCCGTCGGTAACTTTTTGGCTGCACACTGCCAAGGGTCAGAACAATGTAGCAATAAATGAGAAATGGGGGGTGAGTGCAATTTAACATATACTGCGAACAGTGTCTGTGTTAAATAAAAGTGAATGCTCCACAAAACACATCCACTGCCAGGTTAAATTGTTATAGTGTCTAAAAGGAAGGGAGTTACACTAATCAAATTAAACTTAAAAGGGGCCTATAATGCTTTTTCTTTTGGGCTTTTATTGCCTTTAATCCATAGTTACAGCTAAAGAGTGACATGAAACTATGACTATACTGCCCCATCTCTATTTTGCAATTAATCTGTTTATAAATAAATCGGTAAGTGGAATTTTGGTGTCTCTCCCTTTATTTGCCATGGCCTTTCGAGTCAGTTACATTACACATTAACTGCCAGAACTAAAATTATGCTGCCAAAAAAAGAATTACTCCAATTAAAAGCATAAATGGATTTGACATTTTATTGCTTTAAATGAATGAAACCTTAATGTTTCCTCAGATATTTTTCCTTTCCATACTTTATGAATCATTTAAACGTGTCACATGCGTACGCATCCTGCTGTGGAGGTGCTGTCTGATCAGCTTCTCTAAATCTTGACTTTCCCATATGCACTTGCTTGCAAACAGCAGCAGATGGCAGTAAATGCACATATATGAAAGGAAAGAGCTGCTGAGTGTGGGAATGCTTTGGGATTCACATGCTAGTTGTTATTTCTGATCAATAGATATTTGCACTGAGATCATTAATTCATCCCCTTTCTAATCTCTCATAGCATGGTTTCTTTGGCATAGTGACATATTAGCCTTGGGCTAAATTATCCAGTGGGTATCCAGAGAAAAGAAATGTGTGGATAGAAATCCAAGTCTGATTAAATATACTTTAAAAACAAGAATGGTGTCAATTCTTGAACCCAAAGCGTGTCTGTTTGTCTGTGTTTGTATAAGCAGTTTGACTTAGAGAAAATAATAAAATCTGTTTCTGACAAATTATTTAAATATCACACTTCCAAGAGTAGAAAGACTTCCAAGAATATTAAGAAGTGATTTAAGTTGAAATCCCCTAACAGTTCTGAACCGAGGCAGCCAGTCTTGGCCCTGTATTTTCTGCCCAATCAACAAGCATTGATCCTTCCCGTTCACCTGATCAATATCCACTGTCAGATATGGTTTGCAATAGAGCTTGTGTTAACACAAGGGGTGCAGGGTGTCCTCAGACGCCACAGGAGCCCCGACCCTTAACCCCACCATGTTGCTATGTGCAGACCTGCCTTGTGCTGTCCAATCAATGAGCTTTGATCAAAACTGTCAGCAGCACTCAAGTCACACCACTGTCCACTGCTGTGTGTGTACGTCTGTAGCTGAGGAGTGATGAACACACTTTGGAGGCTGATGTTGAGCCTACCCAGACACGACCACTTTATCACAGAGTCTTTACCACCAAGTCTTATTACATTGTCCTCACACATTTCCACACACATGCACAGAAGCTATTAAAGACACAAAGTCAATGGACTCAGACAAGCAGCCTCATGTATTGCTTTAATATCTGCAGGCATTCCCGGCACCGTAAAAAGAGCTATGGGAGTGCTTCCATCGACTGTGACGAGCAGTGTTGCTAATGCTACACTGGGAATTCTCCTGAAAGGCAATCATACAAGTAATCCACACTAAGAGTAGAAAATATTGGAACTATACTGTATTTAAACTTGTTTTGGTGCAGGGCAAAAACCTGCTTAAAAACAGTCTGTTGAAGAAGAGTGCAGGTTGAATAAGAATTTGTATGTAACTGAGTGAACTGACTGAATTGTGGATCAAGGGATAAAAGATATGAGAACATATTTATTTTATGCACTGAGTATATACAGTATATCTTTAAAATGCATTTCAGCTTGAAATAGACATGCAGTGGTAAATACCTGCACATCATTTTCTTTATTCTGACAGTGTGAGTACAGAGAGATGCCAGGTAGGGGGATGGATAGACGGGTTTTGAGCATAAAATCCCACTTCCCTGCGGAAATCTCAGCAGGTAAAAGCAGATTGCAGCTGTTGGATGAAATGCATGAATTTTAAAAACAGTCATGTTGCCACATTGACAGCCATGCATTTTTTTGGGGGGGGAGGTGAAATTTGTCATGGCTTTTGAAAAGGTTTCACAGGCCCCTGGGTCCTTAAACAGCACAAAAAGCTTCAAATGAAAAAAGGGAGACAGCCAACAATATTAGAGTTCTGAAGCCGCTTGCAGCAGTTGTTCCTAAAGCAGCTATAATCAATATTTTTTAATAGCAATATATAAAACAATGTGACATGGATTGCTTGTAGCAATGAACCTACAGAGAATCATTACCTGAATCTGAAGCTCCCCTCAGCTTTACAGAGCTTTATAGCGAGTTTCAGCCCACTGTTTATCTTGCTGCCTTGCTCAAGGGCTCAAGAGGTGGAGAACTGGCACCTCTACAGCCTCCACTGTACTGACTGGTCCATGCTGAGCTTGGACTGGTCACCAAGCCACACATTGTTTTTCTGTCTTTTAAACTTTAAATGAGCAAATAACATAGTTTAGACTAGCTGGACTCGGAAAACGGAAATGAATGAAGCAAAGGCATTTTAAAAGAATAAGCAGTTCAGTTAATGTATCTCTTGGCCCTGAAAAACGGTTGTTTTTTAAGTTAAGTTACAGCTTGTGATGCTGGTGAAAGTATTTTCCAGCTAAGACTTTCCAGTTAGAATAATGCAAGCCAATTTAGTAAACCACTAGTTTGAA